ACAGTCGGCTCCGAGGGCAGTGAGGGGCCCACTGCCGCAGCCGCCGGGGTGATGAGAGCCCGGCTGCGGGCCAGGGCCTGCAGGACTGGTTCCGGAGAGCGTAGGAGACAGAGGCGGACAGTGAGAGGGGAAGATTTAGCGAGCACCCAGCGGAGGCGGTCCAGACGCCAGACAGAGCCCAGTCAGAGTCAGGAGGACAGCAGGCAGGAATGAAGGTGAGTGGGGCAGGGGGAGCCGGGAGACAGACAGACAGACAGAGACTGGAGAGACAGACACCCCTCGCCCTGCAAGCACGCACTGTCCCTCGTTATTCCGGCTGCCACGTCCAGGGCCCGCCCGCTGAGGTCGCTCATGATGCTGTCCACGGCCTCGTGATGCTTTAGAAACAGTGGACGTATGACACGATGATACAGCATGTGAGCCCCGTTCCAGGGGCCAGGAACCATGCAGAACAACAGGAAGGCGCACTGCGGACACAGGGCAGGAGTTACACTCGGCCCCCACTCTGTGCCTCGGGTTGGGGGGGGTCTCCTCCATCAGATGCTGGGCTGGGGTGGACCTGGCCACACTCATCAGACACCTCTGTGGATGGGCCTGGCCTCCGCATCAGACACCCCTGGGGATGGGCCTGGCCTCCCCCGTCAGACACCCCTGGGTACCCGCTCCTGGGAACCCCAGCCGCCACGGTGTGTCCTGGGTGGTGCCCACCTTGCCTGCATAGTAGAAAGGGAACCAGGACAGGAGTAGATCGCTGAAGAACTCGGCCAGCCCAAACAGGCCGTACACCACCCAGTAGGTAAGCCACACAGTGTCGTCCTCTTTGCTTGGGCTCTCGATAGCTTTGATCCTGGGGGAGGCAAGGCAGGGTCACGGGCTGCTCAGAGCCCCAGACGCGCCTCCCCGCGCCCCCAAACCAGCGGGCACTCACGAAGCATATGCGGGGTATGCAAAGCCGATGAGATTGCACAGCAGAGACGCCCCGTACCCGAACAGAAGATACAGGCTTAGCAGAGTGGCGGCTCCTGCAGAGAGGGGGCTGGGTGTGGGCTGCACGTGCTGAGCCCAGTCTCCAGAGCCCCCTTGGCCTGGCCCATGCAGCCTGCATCCATCACTCCTCCCAGAAGCCTCGGCGGCCCCTCTAGGAGGGGTTATTGCCCTGCAGCACCTGGACAGCCCTCACCGTGGCCCTGAACCCCACTAATATGTCAGTCTCCACCGCGGGACTGTGAGCTCCCCAAGGGCAGGCTGGCACCTTAGGACTGGTCTGTACCGAGTGGCTGCCCTGTGTTTGTTGAATGAATATGTGATCTCTGCAATTATAACCACCTCACTCTGGGTCCTATAGGAGGGGCTGAGCACAAGAGGCTAGAGTTTGAATATAAGTAAATGGGAGAAAAACCAAGACATGATTCCTGGAGAGCGGAGAAAGGCAACAATTTCTAACTTTTTTCTTAGTCCAGGGTCTCTTCCCCTCACCACTGCTAACTCTGGGGCAGGGGGAACCACCCTGGGCACTGCATCTGGGGTGTGGAGCAGCATCCCTGGTCCCCACCCACTTGATGCCAGGAGCCCCCCACAGTTGTGACCATCAGATGTCCCCAGACATCGCCCGGTGTCTCCTGAGGGCTGCACGGCCCCCTCTGAGAGCCCTTGTCTTAGTGGGAGGATGCAAAGCGCCGTATTGAGAGTCGCCCTGACTGAGGAGAGCTCTCACCCACTATGAGACACCTAGCAAGTGTCTCTCTGCTTGCAGCCTCAGTTTCCCCAACTGTCAGTGGGGCAGGTAGTGGCCCTGTCTCCTAGGGCTGCTGTGGAGTCAGCTAAACAAGACTCAGTAGAAGGGACCCCGCCCTACACGTCTAGGGAACCCCTTGCGGCGGCCCAAGCACACTCCCAGCAATGAGGGCTCAGAGGAGAACGGTGTGGGGGATAGGGGCCAGGAGCGTTAGCCACTCTGAAATCATAATGGTCACTGCTGCATTTATGAAGCGCTTCTTGTGTGCAGGTCTCTGTCCCTCCCTGCTCTGTCTCATTCAACAGCCAAGACGAAACGGAAGCTGGGGGTGGGGGTGGCGGAAGAGGCTCATGCTCATCACTCGGGGAGCCTCTGGCTCCTGGGAGCATTTACAGCCTCTTTCCCCACCTCCAGGCTGTTATCTGCAGAGAGAGACAGAGGCCACTAGTGGACCAAAGGGCAGAGTCCCCTCCACCCTCCCCTCCACCTGCATTAGCCTTTATCCTGGGGGTCTGGGGTCAGGAGAGGGAGGGGAATCCCCAGCTGGCCCTAGGAGGCCTGGTCACTGCCTCTTCTGGGTTTCCTCCTCGGTTACCTGGGAGGGGGTATTTTGGCCCTCTCAGGCCGCTGGGGCCCAAGGGTTCTGACATCTGGGAGAGGGGGTGGGGGAAATGGCACCCCGTCCCTGGCAATGGCTGCTAGCTGGGGAGAAGCAGCTCTCCCAGGGCCCGTCTCCCCTCAATCCCTATTCCTGCAGCCTCAGCAAAGGGAGGATGACCTTGGACATGGGCGGGAACAGTCCAATCAGCAGCAGATGGGGCGGGGGTGGATGCTCCAGACAGGGCAGACAGCAGGGGCAGCCTCCCACTCTAGGCCTCGGTTTCCTCCCTGTGACCCCCCAGCCTACCCAGCAGGCCCCTTCCCTGTGTTCTACGACCTAAATTCCCCGCCCACTGGTATCAGGGATGTTGAAAACCAGGCAGGAGGTCAAGGGCTTGCTCCCAGGGGCAGGTCCCTGGCTGACCCGACACAGATTGGGCACCAGGAAGCTGGGGGGACAGGTTTTGGACCTTCCTTGGGCTGTCTGGCATGGGAATCCCCCAGCTGGCAGGGAAATGGGAGGAAAGGGGACTCCAAGGATCTGTACACAGGTGCTCCAAACACGTGGCATGTCCTCAGCCAGAGCTGCCCCCCAGTGTCCGAACAAAGTGTCCTGTGATTCATTCTAGGGGGGCTTCCTGGAAGAGGTGGCAGAGGGCAGTCGGGTCTGAAGCACAAAAAAAGAGGGGAGGCACTTAAGGGACACTTACTGGACAGTTTCAGAGGGTGGCAGGGGCCACCCAAGGTCATTGAGGAAGAAAGGCAGAGGAGGGACTGGAATGGAAGTGACAATAGGGGTGGCTGGACCTCCCTCTCCGTGGGCCCCATCCAACCTTTCTTCAACCCCACCACAGCAGTCAACCAACCCAACTCCGGACGGGGGAGGGGAGAGGGCAGGCCAAGGGCGGGGGTAGGGGGTGATATTAGCAGGAAAACAACCTGAGGGGAGGTGGGAGTGACCCTTCTCCTCCACGTCTGGAGCATCCCCTGGGAAAACGAGAAGATCTCTACACTTGCTTCCATGCTGGAGTCCATCCGGGAAGAGGGTGGCAAGGCTGGCAGGGCACTGGCTGCCTACCTGCCCCGTCCTCCCCCGGGGCCAGCAGGACAACTGGAAGAACCGGACTTCTGCCTGGCGGGCACCCAGGGCCCGGAGGGAGGGGGCAGAGGACGGCTGCGGGGCCGAGAGAGGGGGTGGTCCTCGACCGAGGTCGCACAGCGGGGGCGGGGAGGGGCTGCGGGTAGACCCAAGGTCCCGGTTCACGACCCTCCCCAGGATCTCAGTCTCCTTCCTGAACTGTGGGCGCGCCCCGCCGCCTGAGCTGGACCCCGCAGCCGGAGCTGGCCGGAGGGTGCAGGTCCGAGGCCCCGGTAGCCCAGGGCCTCAGTGTGCCCGTCAGCGAAATGGGGCGGCGGCCCCGAGAGCCCCCACGACGGCTCACCCGCGGCCAAGTACCGCTTGTCGACACCGGTCTTGGCTTCGAGCGCCCCTAGCGCTTCGGTGGCCAAATTCCTCTGTTCCAGAAAGCGCTCGAAGCGCTGGCGCAGGCCATCCATGGCACCGGCGGGCCCGGGGCTGGCAGCTTGAACTTGACCGCCACCCCGTGCACCTGCCGTAGAGCCTGCGCGATGCCTTCCCTCCAAGCGAGCCGCACCGCCGGGCCCCGGGGCCACTCTCCACCCCCGGGCTGGTCTCCGCCCTCGGGCTGGTCTCCGCCTCCTGCCCCCCGCTCTGGCCAATGGGAGGGCAGGGAGGACAAAGGAGGTGGGGCCTGCCCCGTCTCCTCCGCCGCATTGCCCCAGGGCAGGCCGCGGCAGCCTCAGCCGCCCCTTTGGAGGAAGGGGGCGGGGCGCGGGGGCTGAGGGCGCCGATTGGCTCATGGGGAGAGGGACGTAGCTGATTGGAGGGGCGGGGTCATGGCCGGGGATTATTCGCTGAGCCGTTGTGGGTGGAGCTGGGTGAGGAGAGAAGCGTGCTGGGGAGGTGGAGCTGGTGGGAGGGGCTGGAGAAAGGCCAAAGCTGATTGGAGAAACGAGAAGAGATTCATCAGCCGAAACAGAGAGGGGGCGGGGCTGAACGTAAAGGAGGAGGGACGGAATCTGAAAGGCAGGGATGGGGCGGAGCTAAACTGAGGAGGTGGGACTTATTCGAAAGAGCAATTCTGGTTGGACCGGGGAGGAGGCAAGGCTTATTCTGGGGGGGGGGGGGTGAGTGGG